TATAGTTTACATTCAACACTTCAAGAATCGGTTAAAATAAATTCCATGCAAAACACCCCCAAAAAAGTGTTTTCAGGGAAAAATTATTCCAGCTAAAATAAAATGTTTTGCAGTATTCATTGGGTTGACAGCCTGAGTATGACGTGAGGTAGTCAACCATGACTTGGAAGTAAGGGGATTCCATCCTACTATTAGTTACGTAATTTCAAAGGAACACATAACGAGATTTGTGACAACGACCCAGAGATTATTCATTTCATGGGGAGCATTTTATGTTTTCCTGTAGAAATATGAGAAACTAAGAAAGGGCCCGTATCAAAAAGACACTGCATGGTAAGGTATGATTCATTTCAGGTATTGATGTGTGTATACATAACACAGAGGGTCGAGAATCCAAGGACACACATGTGTAAACACACAAACTGTGCCAGAAATAAAAAAAAACCAGATTTGATCCAATACCAATTCGTCATCAATGTCCTAATAACAATCGCCAAACTACTCGCATTAGTGAAGGACAGCCTGACATGGTGGCGCCGGTCGAACGGCGGGGTTGGAGCACCGCGGAGGGCGCTACTCACGCGACCTTGTCAGGCTATGGTGAAGGAGAGCTAAACAGAATGTTTTAGAAACACTCGTTCTGCTAAACAAACTAGGCTCCCTCACAAATTCACGAAATAATTCCGTTTAGTCTGCAATTTCCTTCAGAAGATTGGAACAAACTGAAAATTGACTCAAATGTTGTCTGTAGGCTCCAAAAGTTAGGGTTCATTGAAGTAATATAAAGAAAAAAGTGCAGAAAAAATTGGACGAGAAAGCCGGGTGGTTAAAAGGTGAAGGAAGGTAACTTGCCAGTCTGTACGTCCGAAGTGTGACGGGGATACAAGGTTATTGTCATGCTAATGTGCGCATGCGTAATAATAAAAAAGTTTCACATGGCACCCATCTTGCGTTCAGGTGTCATTGTCATTGTCGTAGTTTGAGTGTAATACATTACAGTTTTAAATAAAAAGACACCATGCAAACATAGAGTCTTCTCACGATCCATTTTTTAATAATAAATTGTACTTCTGGGCAATATAAGAATATTAGGGGTCACCAGCATTATTTTCGAGAAAATGATGGTTGTATTTTAGACTGTTTCTCTGTTTCTCGTTTCCGCGCGCATTATTGTGAAATTTGCGCCTCGAACGTTTTTTTTTTTTTCTTCTAAAGCATTCCAATATGCGCTTGTGCTCGCACTTGTCTCAAATTTACCCCATTTTATCTCAGTATTCAAAAAAAAAAAAAAAAAAAAAATCGCCTCGCCGCCTCATTTTAAAATCTCCATGAAACGAGAAACAGAGATTTTTTTTTCTTGCCTTAGTGGATAGTGGCCATTTTGGCAGCATTTTAACGGTTTTATCATAGGTTTCTATGGCAGAGATTTTATGCCACATCTCAAATTGTAGGCTGGTGAAATAGGATGAAAATAATAATATATTGTTAATGATGGGATACTATTTGTTTTAAAAATAGCGAATTTTCGAAAAATATTAGGACAAGTTTCTCAAAATACGTCACTGTAACACACAAAAGAATCCTATTTCATGGTGCCATGGGACAATAGCTCTATGATTTTACATAATAAACTAATGAACATTGTCATATGATTTATGACCAATTTTCTCAAAAACTATGAGCAGTCTTCTACCTTAACTTAGCGAGAAGGGAAAAACTAGGGGAAAAAATGTTTCAATAAATATCGGATTATGAAACATTATATTGTGTACTTTCTTAATCTCTGGTCCAAATTCACTGAGCGCGATGCATAAAAGACCGAAGTACAAAGAAAGTACGTCTCCAAATGCAGCCCCCAGCAATCGACAATTCAATAATTGGAGAGTTGAAAGCAGTTCCGAAGTTCCGTTTTTTTTGTCTCCACTGGCAGTTGACGTAGCGTAGATTCATATAAGCACGCTCCGTTCTATGTTGCCCCATTATTCTTCCCAGAGTTCCTTGCGGTTATATCACCGAAAGTATCTCTGCCAACGCACACCGCCATTTTGTGGTGAAACACCGCAGGACTTTTACTACGCGTATCATTTGCGTATTTTCGTTATTAGAGTGCTCTCGTGTTGATTTTTTCCTACTGGTGAACAATTTTTAAAATTTTTATCGATAGCTGATAATGATCTTTCTGTAAATGCACTGTCAAGGGTGAAATAGTTATAATTTACAAAAGAAAATAATTTCATCGCGGAATAACTGTTACTAGGTTGTTACTCGGTTCATCAAACTGATCGTCGATAAACGAAAGTACTTCGTAGTATTGACGACCAACTCCGTCGTCCTACTGTCACTCCGTTTGTGCTACGGAAAGTAAAACAAAATCGCTTCTATATATAATAAAAACTTGGAAATTGGTGTAAAAACTGCAAAGCAAAATATTGGTCTTGTAAATGGAACGTGTAATGAGCTTGCCTCGAACTGCAGCTATGAAACGATTCAACGTTCCGACATGACAGTCGATCCTCCTATGATTACAACTGATTACAACTATTTCCTATTTCTATCAGCGTTTGTTGGTGATGAGCAAGCCCGTGATGTTGGATTGTTTTCTAGGTCAGTCGTATTCAGTCTTGTACGGGGACCATTAAAGCGGGGGAGTCATCACCTGCGCATGCGTCAGGTGGCCATAGTGTGTCATTGTTTACAAAAAAGCGTCTACCCATGAGCCTTTGCGTCTTTAGCGTGTGTTGTTATCGTCGCTTGGGACTTCAGTTCCCGCGCTTGCGCAGGTGACGACCCTCCCGTTTTAACAGTGTTCTTGGAAGCAGGAGGGTGATCACCGCCAATAATGGGGGGGGGGTGTGTGCACAGGATGAAGATACAATGCCCTCTGCGAGTGTCGCAAAAAATAGCCCACTTTTACGTAAGTATAGGTGATGTACCTCCATGATACTACTTATTAGTATATGTTGAAGAGCGGTTGTCGTCGCCCTGCGCATGTGCGAAATTGTGTGTTGGTAAACATTGATTTTCCCGCAATCCAATGCACGATTTCAATGAAATCACGAGTACGAGTTTTGACCTGGGCACGACTTGCACTAATTACCGCCGGTGATACCTCGCAATCACTAAAGAAATTACCTAGCTAGCTGGGTCTCAGTCTGTACTCGTTGGTCTGTACTCAGATCACTAATAGATTAATTATTAGTGGTCAAAGGTCTGCGCAACAATCGAAGCCGCCATCTTTGTTTACATAAGGCCCATATCTCGCATATGCGTAGCGCGACGACCACCGCCCTTTAAAGACACTGTCAGCTGGTGTACAAGTTGATAATACAATAAATTCGATATTTACTATAATGGGGCCGCCGTCTTAAATACTGTATTAAACTAAATAAGAGACAAGTTGAGAAACGTGTTTTTGTTTCAGATTCCCACGAAGCAGGAAACAAGTACCACACCGCCACAGTCAAATGGTTCATTGGGGATAATATTAGGCCAACCGTCTGACACAATTCGGCCGAATTCGTCATATTTTTTGTGGAAAAATTCCTTATATACGAACACGTAATTACACGAAAAACATAGAATACTTCCCAGGGGTATTTGAAAACGAAATTGTAATCTAACTGTAATGTCGCCGCGGATTGGCTCCTGAGTTGGGATGAAAATTCCGTGGTAAAAAATAAACAATTCCATGAAATATTGTGTAAAAAGTATATTGCCCCATACATCCTTCCTCTGTACACTTTTGCAAGTTTGAGGGAATAAACTTTTGAATAAAAAAATCAACTTTTGTCATTTTTTTCATGAAATAGACCTTTATAATCCATTCGATTTGGTTCAAAATTATAATAATGAAAAAATATGTAAAATTTTGCAAAAAGTTAGATCAAAATTATATCGGGAAATGATTAAAATAGGCATAAAAACCAATGAAATTAATTTTAAAAACTATATGGTATTTATAGATTGATATTCACGTTAAAGGCTCCCTAGAGCGGCGTAAAAAATGAGTATGTTTAGAATGTAAATAAGCACTTAGTGTTTTTCTTCGTATAGTCTACACTATTTCATTTTTTTCTGAATCACCTCTCCAGCAAAAATAGCGAAAATAATTCCCAAGTGAAAATAAAGTAATTTACAGTAAAGTTGAATATCGACAGTCTGCTAAAATGGACGAGTGTGTGTTTGTCCTGGTCGTGTTTTTAGTAACCGTGGTGTAACTGACACGAACGATACATTGATCCTTTATTGTTATATACGTTAGCTAAACGTAGTTTAAAACGAAGTCTCTTTAATGCTCGGATATCCATGTACCATATGTCCAAACTGTTTATGTGGCGTTTCGTCTGACACGGTAGGTAATAGTTAGTGCGCCCCTACCGACAGGTTTACTCGAAATTTGAGAATCCGTCGTCGAGGGCGCAATCATTTTCAATAGGTACTTTGTGTTTAGCAGGAATCCAATTTTTTTTTGCGGGTATATGTATAACACTGTATATAAGAAAGCTGAATCACCACAATATGACTTCTGTGGCAAAATACACTATGTGTCAGCACTAGCACTTGCAATTTGCACAAGTCAGGAGAGACAACAGTGACACTCAATGTCCAGAACTGTCGCCTGGCACAAAAAATATTTTTAAAAAAAATTGAAAAAAAAAAAAAAAGCTTTCACCACGATGACCTGACCTGATTCGTATTTAATAGCATCACTGCCCTTATATAAAATATTGTTATTTTTAAATCAACTTACAAAATATGAGTGATGTTTTTTTTTCTGTTTTTTTTTTTTAAAGTATGGTACATTGTGTTAGGTTGAAAACTGAATTCCACAACGTTCATAGTTTTCTGATTAAAAATATGAAAAACACAATTACCACAAAACTAAGGAAAGGAAAACAAATATTTTGCAGGGTTTTTCAGCAATTGCCCACCTAGATTTTTATAATAGTCCACGCCTTTTATTTTAAAACGCGTAGGCGCAGGAATATGATTGGGGGTGCCTAACACTTGCCGTAAGAGCGTGTATGCAAATGAGCTGTAAACACTTTTAAGGTCACACGCGAAGACACGTTGAGGTCGGAGTTACTACACGTACTTTCAAGCAAGCGTCATGGCTGCCGTTCAAGTTCCCCAATCTGCGAACCCAGAGAAAATTTTCACTGACGGCGAAGATTGTAAGGTAGACTGGAAGAAAGCTGGTGCCGATTACGATGCCGCCGACGATCACCTCGAAATTATGGGGAAACCGGTTATGGAGAGATGGGAGACTCCGTACATGCATGCATTAGCAAAGGTGGCCTCATCTAAAGGCAAGTAATTCTTGGGTTTGTCAGTGTTCTGCCATAGTCACAAAACATTTAATTTAAAATATCAAAGGGTATGTTTTATTTATCAGGCCACGTAATCTTGTTTTTGCCGGGAAAAATTCTGTTAAAATACTCCTACTAAAAATACTGACCATGTGTAAACTCGGCCATGTGGTGCATTTTAGCCGGCATGGAATATTCTATTTTGAACGCGGGGGTGAGAGGCTGGCTATCGCTAAACCAATCAAATTCCGATACAACTGCCGAAGGTTTTATTAAATTTGACAGAATGTGTCCAAGTAATGGAATCTTCTATGTTAAATTACTGTTAGTGTTTTTGTTTTGTTTTTTTAATCGACTTAAAAAAAGACATTCAACGTAGTTCATAAAATTTCTGTTCAGAAATTCTTGGATAAGCAGTTATTTGAGGCAGTCCTCAATAAGCCATAGTGTCCTTCAAAGGTCAGTCCTTAGTCAATCGCTATTTACGCTATAATATGTTTGAACTTCAACTTCAGGCACCCTTTTTCAACGCCAAAATTTATAAAATGTCATTAAGCAAATGGAATTAATATAGTGAATATTGATGGTCACCATGGCAAACTTGCTGGTAATCAGGGCAATGACCTTTGATGCCTCCATGGAGTTCAAGTTTAGTATGTGTCATGCATTACAAAAGTTAAAGGTCATTTTTTATGCAAATGTACTAATATACGCTGTGCCCCCTAAAAAGTAAAAATGGAATCTCCCAAGTTCAAGTTGCATTACATGTAGCTTGATGAATGCTAGGGAGGTCGATCTTCAAGAAAACTGTATATGTACTGTAAAAATGACTAATTTACACTGGGTTTAAACTTCACTGATTTACCATTTCAGGCATATTCAGTGGGTTTTAAATTCATGGTTTCGTCATTTAGATAATGTGTTCTATGCTAAATTTTACATATTCACTGGGTTTTAATTTAGCGCATTTTCCAGTCAGCGAAATAAGCTAAACTAAAACCCAGTGAATAATTACCCCCTTTACAGTAGACTTGGGACACCTGTTTTGCTATGTTTTTACGCTGTGTAAAATGTGAATTTCATTTCACCGAAATACAAATTGCATAACTGTAGGAAGATGTTTTTTTGTTTTTCATCAAGAGCACTGTATCAAATTACATTTATCTGTTGCATCAGTGACTGTGTCCAAAATTGGCGACTATTAATTTGTGTTCTATTTTCTCTGACTTGCTTTGGCCGATAACATTCTAACGATCATTTATCACAACTTGCATATACTCATCTGTTTATGCTACCACTTGACGGCCGACTGACAGCCATTTTTGTCATCAAATTTGCTGAATTCTGAAATTTAACTGTGTTCACAACTGTTTTTTCCAGAGATAAACTGGGCATTGTTTGCCTACATGTGCAAATTTTATGTCCTAATTTTCAAACAAAAAATGCCGATTTGTTGTTAATTTGGTTTTTATTTGTTATTATGTTGATTCCTTAATAATATAGCACCTAATTTATATGAAAGTTTATACACAAAGTATACTCAAGGTCATTGTGTGATCCTATCAAAGTTGTCAAATCGATGTTTATTTTGTCGAAAATCCGTAAATTGCCGTTCGTAAACGTGTTCATTTCATGCAGATAAAGCAGGCTTTGTATCAGGATCATGCATACTGAGTTAAATGTGCACATCATTTTAACAACTGTTTCTCTCAGATATGGTTTGCATGGTTTCGTTCAAACTTAGTACAATGATTCTACTTACTGAATTTTAGTTTGCACATTAGATTGTGTTAGTGATTCAAATAAATACGTTTGGCTATTTATAGTACATTGCCAGTACGTAATGGCTGATCACATCACAACACTATCTAGCCAAAAATACACCCACGCTGCGAACACTGTAATGATGGAATTTAAGCATTAACCGTTTCATCACCAGTTCCCATTTTTCATCACATAATACTGTAAAATCTGTATTAAAAGCCGCGGCTTCTATTAAAATGGTACAATACAATGGGGGGGAGGGGTGCGGCTTCTATTAGAGCATCTACACATATGAGAAATGATGAATTTTTGGTTCTCAATTATTCAAAAAAATTGGTGCGACTTCTATTAGGGGTGCGGCTTCTAATACAGATTTTACGGTAGTCATCTTTCCATCAAAAATAGCCAAATCTTTTGGGTAAAAACTGATAATTGACTCAAATTTTGTCTGTTGGCTTCAGATTTAGGGTTCATTTCCTTAAAATGTTGAAGAATACAAGAAAAAAGTGCAGACAAATTTGGATGAGAAAGTCTGGTGATCAAAAGTTTAAATACAGAACTGAGACTGTATTTTCAATCTTTACTTTTACATAGTTGATATATCGTGTTCGTAGATGAAGAAAATGAAAAATTATATAGCATCACCGTACTTAAATTGGTAACAATCAATAAATAATAAATGCACGTTTTGTAAGTTTTCAGGGCATTTTACCATTATTTCCTATTGCAAGGATATATCTCAACGTCTCAAAATTATGCTCGATGACATATGGTAAAAAAAAAAGTGTCTTACAAGGAATTTTTAGCTCCGCTGTCGACTTTGTCGAGCGGAGCTTATCATATGAGTGATTGTCCGTCGTCGTCGTCCGTATCAATGTTTTACTTTTTCGACTTCTTCTTGAAAACTACAAGCCTGAATGCTTTGATACTTGGTGTATATGTACCTTGGGTAGACCTCTCTTAGGTTTGTTCATTTCATGTTGATATCTTTAATTCTTTAATTTTGGTGAATATTTTTATCATTTTTGGTAAAAAGTGATATTTTCGACTTCTTGTTAAAAATCAATAGTTCAATTGCTTTGATATTACATATATAGATACTACATGTAGACCTTTCTCAGATTTGTTCATTTTGTGATGATATCTTCAGTTCTCTAATTTTGGTGAATATTTTTGCCATTTTTGGTAAAAAGTGATATTTTCGACTTCTTGTTGTAAACTGTAAGTCTGATTGCTTTGATATTACATATATAGGTACTACATGTGGAACTCTCTCAGATTTGTTCATTTTGTGATGATATTTTCAATTCTCTAATTTATTTTGGTGAATATTTTTGTAATTTTTGGTAAAAAGTGATATTTTCGACTTCTTGTTAAAAACTGTAAGTCTGATTGCTTTGATACTATTCATATTGTTCATTTTCTAATGATGTCTTCAGTTCTTTAATTGAAATGTGCATTGCTAACAGCGGAGCTATCTCAGCCGATAGGCTGCTTGTTTTTTAATGTCTTGATGTTTTTAACGAGGAAAGGGTTTTTTTCATTGTGGTCTAAGGAGACCGCTGCTAAAATGGAATTGTGTGCATATGTATATTTATCCTCAAAACAACAGAATGACAGTGAACCAAAAAAATTGTTGGCTAATACTGCATCGATTAATTGTAGACAAATTTTGACATGAAATGTATGCAACTCTGTGTGTATCATGTTGCAGTGTTAAACTCTTGAATAATACTGTAGAATACTTTATTTTAGCTATTTTCGCTGAAGGGATGATTCCGTGAAAATAAAATCCACCGAATATACTTTTTTCCCCATATATTTCACATTAAACTCATTAAAAAATCAGTGAAAATAAATTCCATACAAAACGCCCAAAAAAATTTCCAGCGAAATTAATTCCAGGGAAAATAAAGTACATTTGTATTCCACAGTAGCAGAAATGTCAAAAATAGCTTCAATCGGTGATGATTAAAAAAAAAATACCAGTATCAGCAATATTTATTTTTATTCACTTATAAAATTTTTAAAACCACCATTCTGAATATATAATGAGCTTAAAAATAAAAACCATCAAAATGTCACGAATCAGATTACAGGCAACATTTCTGATGAGAGATCTAGTAAATTTGCATACTGTTTCATATTTATGTCTTGTTAACCAATCACAACATTGTACAGTATATCTCATGAATATTCATTCTTGTTAACCAATAGCAACACTATCATAGTACATCTCATGAATATTCATGTCTTGTTAACCAATCACAACACTTGTACAGTATATCTCATAAATATTATAGTACTTGAACATTGGTTGAGATTTTCTTGAAAACAGAGTTAGATTGAAGGTAGAAAAAAAAATGAAGTAGAAATCTCTTGTGAAAGAACTCTTGTCAATTGATCTTTCGCGACAGTGACGTGTTATTCATTTTCAAAACAGGCTTTCTTTTTCTCCTTGTACACTGTCTTCACACTTTAGCAGACAGACTTTAACAAGTGCCTAGGCGAGGATTTAGTCCTAAGCGACGATAACAATGTACCCTAAAGACGCAACGACTCGTGGGTATGTACATGTGACGACTGCCCTGCTTTTAATACTTTAGTACTGGATAGTCAGTTAACACCCTGAATTGGAACAGTATCACTATCCATCCCCATTCCATCTCCACACCTCCTGACCACAGCTCTTGGCAAAGGCCTGTTACTGTCAAATACTTTATTTTTGCTGTAATAAATTTTTCGCTGAAAATACTTTTTAGGTGTTTGGTATGGAGTTCAGTCTCACTGATTTCTAATGAGTTGCGTGACAAATACAGGGGAAAAAAGATATATTCGCTGAATTTTATTTTCACTGAATCATTCCTTTAGTGAAAATAATGTATTTTACAGTATTTAGAACTTGTTGCCTCAATATTTACTGCGTTCTCTTAACCCTTTTCACCACCAGTTCCCTCTTTTCATCACAAATTTACAAAATAGTCCCATTTATCGTCTGTATTTTCCTTTAAAACATTCAAAAATAGCCAAATTTTTTGAGTAAAAACTGAAATGTACTCCAATTTTGGCAGTTTCCTTTAAAAATTAGAAAAAAAGACAAAATTTGGGTCAGAATGGCTGATGGTGGAAAGGTTAATGTCTTCAACCCCCCCCCCCCCCCTTTTCTGGGGTTTTGTATTTCCATGTCATTGCCAATAGCAACAAATTTAGTTTAATTTGCAATGATAATGTCTCAAAATTTCAATAAAAAATTTACAGCTTCTATTTTGTGTAGGTCACATTCTCAGCATCAAAACCAGTGCAAAATAAAAAAGTTTTCTCCATTCCAATTATACAATATCTATTTATAAAATAGTATGAATGTGAACTTGACCTTTAGTATTTCAAGACTGAAATTTCTAAAAAAAATACATTAGACTAATTGCCCTAATGCATGATCTCTAAAGGTCACACATCCTGGTACTTTGCTTGACCCCCCTGAAGGTCTCGAACTCCTTGTACTTTACATGATAACTGAAAGTCGCACATCTTTGGGGGGGGGGTGAAAAAATATAAATTAAAAGCTGATCTGGAAATGCATAATTCCTCTTTCTGCAGGCAAATTATTAATCACGGCCACTAATAATTTTCTATTTGATACCGTTATTATTTGACTGTAAAGGTTTTTTTAAAATTGAACCGAAGTACGTATTTATACATTGGCTACTGTGTTCGATCACATATTGTAAAAATAAAAATAAATTTATGCTTTTTTTGTGAAAGTTTGGTGGCTTTTTTTAATGACTGAATTGACAAGTGTTGAGTGTAAAATATCTAAAATATGCGTGTTCAGAAATATTCTGACTTTGTAATTAGATCTGTGTGGTTATGTTTATTAAATGACTGTGTAGTGACAGCTCCATGTAAATTTCTAGACCCCCCCCCCCCCATTTACTTTTGGAGAAGGTGCCTTTTACTATCGTTTTCAATTTTTTAGGGAAATGTATGCAACTTTAGGCAAAAAAAATATATCTAATTTTTTTTTTTTTTTGAAATGAGGGAGGAAAGGAAGGGGGGATTATGTCTGACGATGTTGTCTTGTCACAATACTTTGTTCATGAATGCACAGATCTTCATATTTAATATTCTTACAATTTCTCTGTCTATGTAAAAAAAAAATGCTTATTACTGCATTGTTTTTCTTAATGTTTTTTCAATCTATTTAAAAAAAATCATCACTGCTCTGTTTTCAGGGGTCGAAATACTCTGGTGCACACTGCACTATGCACGTAGATTATTAGCTAGTGCAAGTAAACTCAAAATATAATGTGCTCGCTGTGCATGTAGAAATTAACACATTTCCTCATTATATTCACTAAGCCTAAATTAAGTTTAACCAATATTGTAAGACAACTAAAAAAAAGCAAATTCTTTCGTGATCGTATCAATCGATAACCCGTAAATTTTATTTAAACTTTAAAAGTGGTGCATTTCACAACAAGTTAGTGCAGGTAAATTTCAAATTCATTATGCACAATGTGCATGCAGGGAAAAAATTCTATTTCAATCCCTGGTTTTTACAAAACTTAAAACCAAAAACAGATCTTTTTTTTGCCTTGAAAATCAAGAGACTATGCTGTGAATATTTCCATGGACATTATTCAAATTCCTGCATAATTCTTGACTGCATTGTAATGATGTGATTGGATACCATTGGTCAGCTGACAGTAAACGAGTGAGGTGATTGGATAATATAATTTATGTCAAGTCACAATTTTGGTGTTGAAGTACTGTGAAATACTTAATTTTAGCTGGAATTAATTTTTGCTGAAAAGACTTTTTGGGTGTTTTGTATGGAATTTATTTTCACTGATTTTTGATGAGTTGAATGTAAAATATAGGAAAAAATTCGCTGGATTTTATTTTCACTACCTTATACTAAAATATGTTTGGATAATTAGATTACTAACAAAATCTCACTTCCGGTCCGGTTAGAGGTAAAATACACCACGAATATTCACTTTTGAGATAATTTTTTTTTGTATGTGTTCGTTCTTGGATATCTATGCTTCGTCGGCCTGTACTTCGTTTAGTAATTCAAACTTCCCAGATTGTTAAAAGCGGAGAGCTTCTCGATTTCGATATCGAAAACTGCCTTGGCTTAATCATTTGCTGGGGGACGGCCGCTTAGGTACGTGCTCTGTAACTTGCAGCGCATGAACCTAAAAACATTAGCTAATCAAATTCATAGGAAGTTGACAGTCCCTAATATTGCTAAATCGCCAGTTGTGAACTTTATACATTCCTTTATTTCATTGTTGAGACTGGGTTATACAGTTTGCTACATACTTCAATTTATCTATATTGGAAAACGGTTATGGGAATTATTAATTTCAATAAACAATATTCAACTATCCTTTGCAACACCAATAAGATCATAATGGTAATGTTTGATGCTCTTTGAAACTAGAGGCATTATCAGAGCATGGGTCTTATTTTGGAACTCCTGCCAGGATGGTATTCACAGAATAGCGCAGTTGTTAAAGAAACATAAAACTTCAATTTTCAACAAGGATGAAAGGATCAGTTACTGAGACAAAGCCCTACTCCCAGCGAAACCCACCAAATACGAAACCCAATTACCACGAAAGCCACTCACCGCAAAGCTACTAGTCACTTTAGCGAAAATTAATTCCAAGCGGCGAAAATAGTATTTTACAGTAGATCAATCAGGAATGTGTGTGATTATGTTAATGTAATGAGTAAGCCTGTATGAAAGCTAGTTTTATTCAGTGTATGTATACTTTTCAGTCTCCTGAAGAGAAATTGTTGATTGGTTTTGACAACAGCAAGATGCTGAGAACTCTTATTTGAAATGGCCTTGAATATTATTAAGCAGGGTACTCTACTTGTCCTGTGATTTGCAAAACTGAAAAGTTATTTAATCAAATGATCAATTTTTGAATACCAGCTGTATATCACGTATAAACATAATTAAGGCCACGCATGGCTTAATTTAGAAAGTAAAAATTCTCTCATTTTATTTTCATACCATAAAGTGGGCGTATTTATACACGTATAAACCTTTTTACCACCAGACTTTCTCGCCAAAATGCTTCTGCACTTTTTTCTTATATTCATCAGTATTTTGGAAAATGAACCCTAATTTTTGACCAAACAGACCAAGTTTGAGTAAATTCCTCGTTTTTACTTAACAATTTTTTTCTTTTTTTGTCCCAATCTTGTAAAGGAAAGTGCAGACTATAAACGGAACTATTTTGTGAATTTGTGATGAAGAGGGAACTGGTGGTAAAACGGTTAAATGTTAATTTCTGAGTAGCCACATGAAAGTGTGTAATTTTCAATCAATGAAACTTGTCTCTGTGGTCCTATTACGCATCAATCAATCAAAAACTAAATCAATATTACTGTCTTCCTTGTTTACTTTACTAAGTGGTCGAAATTGGGTTTTCTACTGCGACCGACTCACGAAAATGAATGCTGTGTTTAGTTTAATATATTCCTCTAGGCTATACTGTAAAATACTTTATTTTAGCTGGATTAAATTTTTGCTGAAAAGACTTTTTGTGTTTTTCATGGAATTTAATTTCACTGATTTTTGATGAGTTGAGCGTAAAATATAGGAAAATAGGTATATTCGCTGGATTTTATTTTCACTGAACCACTCGTTCAGCGAAAATAGCGAAAATTAATTCCAAGCGAAAATAAAGCATTCTACAGTATTCTATTTACATTAAACCAGTAGTTTATCTTCGGAGCAGACACAGACACGCTACCTGTAGCGCCAAAATTATACTAATTTGGATATCAAATAATAGAATTTACTTTTTTCCCCATTTTTTCAGGTGGTAAAGTTTTGGAAATTGGTTTTGGAATGGCCATAGCGGCAACCAAGATTGAAGAGTACGACATCAAGGAGCATGTGATAATTGAATGTAACGACGGCGTATTCAAGAGACTGGAGGAATGGGCTAAGAAACAACCGCACAAAATAACCCCCCTCAAAGGCATGTGGGAGGACGTGTCGCCAACATTGGAAGACAACCAGTTCGATGGCAAGTAGAATTGTTTATGAGAAAGATGCAATATTTTTGTAAAAACTGTTTGGTTGATGATTTTAAGAAAAAATGCTGAAAAATTGTCTAATTTTAAGAAAACCAGAAAAAATGCAATATTAAGCTGATTTTCATAAATACCTTTGGTAAATTGCACTTTCTAGTTCTCCATAATTTTGTATATCATGAACTTCTGTAGTCTGATTTTTTTTTTAAATGAAATGGAAAATTGTCAAAATTACGGTTACAGTATTAATTTTACAGTATTAATGGATATTCTAAAAAGAGATCAAAGCTGTTCAATTTACTGGTTTGATTTCTGAATATGTATGACACAACTTCTTTGTTAGAAATGAAAAATATACTACGTATTATTGACAAAACATGAATATTCATGAATATACTATACTAGTGTTGTGATTGGTTAACAAGTCATGAATATTCATGAATATACTGATAGTGTTGCTATTGGTTAACAATGCATGAATATTCATGAATATACTGTACAAGTGTTGTGATTGGTTAACAAGACGTGCATATTCATGAGATATACTATGATAGTCTTGCTATTGGTTAACAATGCATGAATATTCATGTTTTTTCAGGCATTCTCTATGATACATATCCCCTGTCAGAACAAGACTGGCATACACATCAGTTCAACTTCATCAAGCAGCATGCTTTCCGCCTTTTGAAACCCGGCGGCGTTCTTACGTACTGTAACCTTACATCGTGGGGCGAATTATTGAAAGGAAAGTTTGATGACATTGAAAAAATGTTCCAGGTGAGGAAAGAAATCCTATTTTATACATTCTTTGCCAATGTTTTGTATCACCAGTGCCTTCTTTCGTGTAGCGCCATCTACAGTCTAGATTATTAAAAACTTTTGTTTTGTTGGATTCCGTACTATCATTTCCTGATTTGTAATCTTTATACTTTTCCAGGAAACTCAAGTTTCCCATTTAGAAGATGCCGGATTCAAGAAAGAGAACATCTCAACAGAAGTCATGGATATTGAACCGGAAAAGGAATGTAAATATTACTCTTTCCGCAAGATGATTACTCCAACTATAATTAAGCAATAAACTAGGGATGCTTAAACTTGTAAAAATTCATTAGTTTTGATAGATGAAGCTAGGGACTCTGGGTCAGAGGTAAATTCTGATAAAAAATTGCAATGAATCTGGTTAATGTTGAGCTAAACTCTTTGGTTCAAAGGTCATTTCTACTTAAAATGTCTCGTGATTCTGTCATTTTATTGAGGAAGCTAGGTTGGCTTTCATAGCATAGTTTTGTTATCTGCATGTACTGGATGGAATTATGATAATATTAAACAAGTTAGAGGTGCTTGATGATGAATTTGTTACTAAGCAACCCTGAATAATTTTAAAGTGTATTCACTTTGAATGTAAATATGAATCGGGTTCCTTTTTTATGTACAAATGTATTAACAATACGCTAAGTGGGCTAACTAGCCTGCCTAGCTTTCTCAATATTGGCAATGTTTGGAAATAGTCTCAAGAATGTGATGCGGGTGACTTGTGGCTGAAACAAATCCTGTTTTCTCAATGAATACAAAAAAAAATTATTTTTTAAACTGACCTTAATAAATGACCTTTGTAGCCCGAACACAGCTTTGAACTTGAACACCACTGCAATCTGGACGCCTGATTACACCAAACACTACGATAAATCAAACCTTTCCTATGTACTGAACAGTTTTGTATGTGTTTTTGAACGTTAGTTTTTGTCAATAATGCATATTCTTATTATTATTAAAACTGTGATCATGACCTGTATGTCAATGCGTTGTGTATATTTCATCTAGAATAGACTATTTTATGCTCATTGCTAGATCCCATGTGATCCATGAAAACAAAACAAACAAAAAGTTATATCATCAGAACATCGATATTAAAAAAATGAGAAAGTAATTTTGCATTGACAATGGTTAATTTTGATGAAGTAAAGGTATTGTCTTATTTCATTCCATATTGAGCTGTAGAAAAAGAAGTTCAAAATTAAATCATTTGATTTTTTGCAGCCGACTACGCCTTTCGTGTAATAACTAAAGATCTCACCGAAAACGGAAAATCACCTATTAACAAATTTTAGAAAAACATCAGAAGATCGATATTAGAAAAATGCGAAAGTATTTTATGCTTAATATTGTGCTAATACACTATTAACAATGGTTAATTTAGATGAAGTAAGGGTATCACCGTACTCCCTTCTGAAAGATCGGCATTTCCATATTGAGCTGTAGCAAAGGAAATTGAAGTTCAAAATTAAATCATTTAATTTTTGTAGCGAACATTTGATCCACGCCTTTCACCTAATAACTCAAAATCTCGCAGAAAACTGGAAAAACACCTCGTAACAAATTATAGATAAACGCTATTAACAAGTAAATTTCATTCCAAGTCCAAACATTTTGTTACGACTGGAATCGCTATTAGTAAGACGCGCAACGTCTTCAAATCAAGAGACTCTGCTTATTTTTGCCTGTATGAACAAACAATAAACAAAACAAAGTTTAATTTTCAGCAACTTGCATTCAAAAGGATTTTGTATTTTACTGTTGCAGAGATTTTTTTGAACAAGGGAACCAAGGAGAGCAGATCCTCTGGCAACCATAAAATTCTTATTGACCAGGGATCATATGTGGCCAGTCTTCAACTGTGACGTGTCTGATAGTAATTTTTGCCCCAAGGAAGCCATAGAATGCTCCATTTTAACTTAGAATTATCAAAAACTCCTGGTAAGGAGAACCCTATCTCCCCCACTTGGTGGCGCCGTTGAATTGCAGTGCTCCCTCTTGCAGTTTTTTTTTCTAGAAAGAAACCCTGTGTTGGTTTGTCCTATATGCCACAGTTTTCATTAATTTTTTTTTGGTGGGTCATCAAAATTTTCTCGGCATCTAGTGATTTTCTGATGAGCCATAAATTTTGGCGCAAGTCTCTCGTCTGATAATGAGGGAAATTTGGTTGAAATAACTTATTCTGACAAGTTCGCATCGCAACGAGTTGGAATAAACTTAGTACGTGTTTGGTATTTACAGCATTATTAAGCTGAACATGAATCTTATTTTAAGTGCCTGTGAAATGCCCACCCACACGCTTCCCATTTTAGATCTGTGCCCCACTGAAATGGGCAATTATTGATTTTTTTTTGCTGAAAATGATTACTCGTATTCAAGTAAATTTAAGATATTTCCTGTGTAATGCAAGCTACCCAGCAACTTCCCCTTCTGACGTCACAGGGGGAATTTCTGTATGCAAATGAGAAGCTAATGAGGAGCCTCGTTTTAGAATACACAAAAATAAAGTTGCCGTAGACTGAGTTTAAAACACATTTTTTTACTTGAAAAAAATAATTCATGCTTAGAAACGTAAAAATTAATATTTATGTATCAATGGATAATTTTAGGCGTGAAAATAGCAGCCATTTCACAGGCACTTTAAAACGACAAATCCAGAATTTTTACAGAATTGCACAGGAAATGATGAATACTGTAAAATACATTTTTAACTGGAATTAATTTTCGCTGAAAAGACTTTTTGGGTGTTTTGTATGGAATTTATTTTCACTGATTTTTGATGAGTTGAATGTAAAATATAGGAAAAGTATATTCGCTGGATTTTATTTGCATGGAATCATCATCCCTTCAGCGAAAATAGCGGAAAATAAATTCCAAGCGAAAATAAAGTATTCTACAGTATAATTTAAGTGTTTCAATTAAATTGTGTGATTTTTTTTTTTTATGTGTGGTCTCCAATGAAACTCGTCTAAACCAAACAATACAGGTACGTTTGTTGACAAGTTCAGTTTCTAAACACAATTGTATCTGATTGGTTGTCCCATCCTGAACCAATCACATATCGTCTTTGGTTACAAATTATTTCAACTGGTTTAAACAGGTTTTAGGAATAGTTAAAGAGGGAGGGTCGTCACCTGTGCACGCATGGGAATTGAGTCCCAAGCGACGATAACAACACTGGCTAAAAATGCAAAGGCTCATGGGTAGATGCTCGTTTGCAAACAACGAAACGCTATGGCACCCCTGCTGTAAACTTGCAGTTTTTGTTCCAAAAGTTTGCACATCCTGGTACTTTTAACCCTTAACCCCTTGAAAAACCAGAATGTGTGACCTTTAAAGGAGGTCATATTTGAATATTTTGAGGCTGTCTGCAGAAAACATGAAATGTCGTGAATATTCACTATGAATGTTTATTGGTGGGTATGATTATTACCGGTAATAAAAATTATTTGCCCTTTTCACTGCATTGTCAAAAAAACAATTCGCTCTTTTTGAACTAGTATTGTTTTACGATACAATTCAACTTTTATCAAATTAACACATCAAAAAAAATTCTGTTATTTAACAGAACAAATGCTTATTTCATTTGAACGTGGTGCTCAGTGTCGTTTTTTGAGCCAATGTCAATTGATTTGTGAGCTCTGAAGTCGGTGTATAAACAATGCATCTCTCAACACTGCGTCCAAGTTTGTAATAGCCCCATCACACCATAACGTTTTGGTCAGCGTTCTCTGAACGTTCCAATGGTCCATGTTCAGAGCGTTCTGGAACGAGATGGACACATCCAGCGTTCAATTAACGAGTGCCCCTAACGTATGACTAGCGTGTTCCTAACGCACGAGGAGAGTGTAATGAGCGACCAAGTAAGATACCCCTGGAAATCATTGACGTGTGCTAACGTGTCACTAGCGCACGACGAACGACTTTTAAACGTTAAGTGAGCGTGTATCTAACTTTAGGTTGTTAATTTGATTTTAGTCACACGCTTTATGTGCGCTAGGGGTACGTTCAGCGGTCGTTGACAGGTCACTAGTGAGTTGTTCACTGCAAAGCGAGCGATTGGTAACAACTAAGTAATGCTAGAGCAACGACTAACTAACGATTGTCGAATGTGTCGAACGTTAGCAAAATGATCGAAGAACGTTATTTAATGTTTAACAGCGTTTAAAAATAAACGTTGAAGATCGCTGGTTTCAAATGAGAACTTTTGTGCATGTTCAAAACTTTTTTTTTGGATCAGCGTTTTCCACAGATTCCTGAGGATCAGCAACGATTACCGACGTTCACTAGCGTTCTCACGGCGCTCTTCTGGCGCTGTCCCAGCGACTTTGGGCGACTACCAACGTTTCCTCAAACACCAGAGGACGCTAGCCAGAACGTCATGGTGTGACTGCGCCTATAATGATTCTATCCCCCCCTCAAATAAAAAGTCTGCCCTTTGAACTTGACTGGCAACTAAATCAGCTTAAATCTATTGCTGTAGACAAGTTTATTAATTTTTTTGTGAATATTGTAATTTTTATTGTAACGGCTTTATCAACTTAAAAAAATAAACCTGCACAATTTTTTTCCGCAATTTTGAGCAAATTCTGCAGACAATGTAAAGTTATGCTCACATTTGGTTCAAAATTTTGAAGAAAAAAAATTTGAAACATTTGAAATGTTGCATCAAATATTTGGCGCATAAAAATGTGGTTGTAAATTTGTGTGAAAGAACGTAAATGTTGACTACACGAGCCGTGAATCATAATTATTTGTAGTGACGTTCATGAATTTTCAAATAAAATTTTGCAGTGCTCAAAAAAAAAAAACCTAAAAGATGCAGTGGCAACAAATGTTAAAATTTGTCATAGCCAAGAAAGGCCTAGATTTACAAGGAAAACGCATCACAAACTGTTGCTATGGGAACTACAGTTTTGTGAAAATTAAAAATTTTTAACAGTGATCGAAGCTAGTTTCTGTCAACATGTCTCAAACTGAAAACAAAAATTCTCTTCATTTATTTATAACTTTGTACTTGGTATTTTACTGTGGTCGAAATTAGCTTGGGTCTTGTAATACGACACATTTAATAAAATCTATGTACGTCTTCAGTTCAGTTTGATGAGATGTATGAATTTTAATCTTTTACCCTCCATCCCAGACCCATACAGAGGAGAGTGCATAGAATCTGTCTTTAATTCTCGCCCAACTTTTTCTGCACTATAGAAATCGAAATAATTTTTATTTAACCGTTTCACCACCATACTTTCTCACCCATATTTGTCTGCACTTTTTTTCAAATTTTCTTCAATATTTCTGGAAATGTACCCTAATTTTGGAGCCAACAGACAAAATTTGAGTCAATTTTCTATTTTTACTCAAAACATTAGGCTATTTTTGTCCCAATCTTCTGAAGGAAAGCGCAGACTATATATAAACAGGACTATTTTGTGAATTTAGGATGAAAAGAGGGAACTGAAGGTGACAAAATTAGAAGCTGTAACCTCTTTGGCTGAATGAATTATTTTTTTTTCATCCTACTTTGTATTTTTCAACTTCTTGAAAACCGCAAGTCTGATTGCTTTGATACCTTGGGTAGACAGACCTTTCTTAGGTTTGTTCTTTTATGATGATGAATATTTTTGGTAAAAAGTGATATTTGACTTGTTCAAAACGACAAGTCCAATTGCTTCGATATTATACATATAGATACCCCCGGTACCTCAAGTGGATTTCTCTCAGATTTGCTCATTTCATATCTTTAATTCTCTAATTTTGAGACCTTTATAGACAATTTATTGCAAGACTTTAAAAATTTACAATTAGTCAATTAAACCGGTAATAATGACTGTGGGCGTGCCATACGTATGAAATTCTGCGCATGCGAGTTTCCATGGCAATGTTGTGAAGTCATGGTAACAGCCAATCAGTGATGATGCAGAATTCTGTGCCGTCTGCATTTTTACACAGTTGGGTAATACAAGTAACTAAATATGAACACAAGTCAAAATGTGTTTTAAAATCTTTTTTAATTTTTGGTATTCTCAGAGTTTTTGCTTTTAGAGTTTTTTATTGCTCAGTTTATCTTTCATTTCCTCGTCCAGTGCTTCTATTGCGGCCTTGATGATATCTTCAGGATACTCATCAAGATCATCACTTGTATCAATTTCTTCTTTGCTAACAATCTTTATCTGAAAGTTGAAAAAAATATACCATAGACATATAGTTTACAACAATACATCGTGCCATTTTGTTTCTCAGGTAAATTCAGCACAATTGTTACCAATAATAATTTTGAATTTCTGAAAATTTCTGACTTGTTCAGCGAGAGATTTCTGGCATTTCAGGAATTTGTTCACAGACCTTAAATTGATAAGACTTAATCGCCCATTTTCCGTTGACTGCGAGAATCGCGCGTTATGCGTGAAATCGAACGTAAAAACAGGACAAACAAAGGTCATAGCGTCGTAGTGGCGTCAAACATCGCGTGGGATTCGACAAACGCGAAAGTATTTTCGGAGACATTTCCATGCTTAATAATGTGCTGTCCACATTTGATGATGGGCAATTTCGATTAAGTGAGGATATTCTGAAGCAATATTCCTCTGTCGAAGATCGGCCGGTCAATGTGAGTTACGAAATAAAGAAATTCTCGTTCAAAATCAAATCGTTCGATTTTTGCGGCAGATGTTCGACGCTCGTCTTTCATGCATCTCGCGAGATCTCGCAATTGTACGGAAAATCACCTATTCTGCAGGAATGTTCGTACAGAGTACACAGTGCTAGCAAGAACCAACTGTTCGTATAACCAGATAAAAAGAATAGCATCCATCTCTGCCATAGTGTGCATTTAACTTTTGTGCGAGAAATGGCAGTGAAAACATCTCTGGAGTCAGTCAAATCTTAGAGTGCTGTTGATGTTGTGCCAAACACAAAATTATCAATCTGCTCTGTAATTGCTTGAATAAATAAGATTATTGAAGCGCGGTAGTCGTCGCGCTGCGCATGCGCGAGATATATGGGTCTCATATAAACAAAGATGACGACTTTGACTGTTGCACAGACCAATGAGTACGAACTGAGGCGTTTCCAAGCTTTAATTAGGTAATTTTCATGTTATTGGAAGGCATCAAAGGAGTCACTGTCGGTAATCAGTGCAAGTCGCGCCCAGATCAAACCTCATACTTGTGATTTCCATTTGAAGAGCGCATTGGATTGTGGGAAAATCAATGTTTATCAACACAAACATGGCGCATGCCCAGCGCAACGACAACCGCGCTTTAATTAAAATAAATGAAACACCAGTAGCTATAGAAACAACTTGTATTTAACCTTTTCATCAACATACTTTCTCACCCGTATTTGTCCGCACTTTTTTTCAAATTTTCTACAATATTTTTGGAATTGAACTCTAATTTTGGAGCCAACAGACAAAAGTTGACTCAATTTTCAGTTTTTACCCCAAAAATAGCTATTTTTTGTCCAAATCAACTGAAGAAAAGTGCAGACTATTAAGTTAGATTTGTAATGACAAAAAAAGGGAACTGGTGGTGAAAAGGTGAATGTACTGTGGAATACTTTATTTTCGCTGGGATTAATTTTCGCTGAAAAGCTTTTTGGGCGTATTGTATGGAATTTATTTTCACTGATGTTTGACGAGTTGAATGTGAAATATATAGGAAAAGTATATTCGCTGGATTTTATTTTCACGGAATCATTACTTCAGCGAAAATAAATTCCAAGCGCAAATAAAGTATTCTACAGTATATGATAAAATCTTTATGGAATGCATATGCCAATTGCGACCCTCGATCAGAGGGGCTTACGCACCCTCAAAATTTAGCTCTGGCAATTCCGCCATCCGTCCTCAGACTGCAAAAGTCGTATCCAGTTCGTAAAGATTAATATTGGACTTACGTCATTAATGGTATTGTTATCATCACAGCAACTATTCGTACATTCAATTTCACCGTTGCCATGGCAAACACTATAAAAAGTTCAAATAAATGATATTTTTTTCAAACTTTATTATCACAAAAATAATTCTGTTTTAAATATTAATTTCATTATTGCAGTAGATTTGAAAAAAAAAAAAAACTGATATTGCTTTTATCGATTTTAACTCACCACTGACGTCCATTAATACGAAGATAGTCGCTACGTTGGAAAGTGTAGCATCCTGCAATTTTGCAAGCTGTGAATAAAACAATATAACATAGTAAAACAATTGTAGCCCACTAATTCAATGAAATGTAACACATTGAACAACGCACAATTTTTGAACCAATACATTCTTTTGTGTGGCATTAAAATGTGATTAAGTCACGTAAGGCTGCGTCTTTTACAATTTTTTTTTCCATTTTTTGTTATCTACGAAATACTGGATCATTTAAATGCTGGTA